TCCTCTGTACTGAGGAATAAAATCATTGGTATAGAAACTGCATTACAGTTGTTCAAAATACGCACGGTCCTGATTTTGTAAATAACTTCTCAAACATGTAGCCCAAATCAATCCCAGAGATCCATTTGTCTTCAGGCACTGAATAAGCAAAGCCTGAATTTAAACTCGCAACAGGGGATCCTGATTTGCTCCCTGTGCCAGCTTATACCTGCAGCTAGTGCTAACATTATCCTCTCAGACCATGGGGAGGTACAGAAGAACAAAGACCAAACATCTCCACCAGCACAAGCACGGGAAATCAGTTTTCAGCCCTATGTATACAGAAACTGTCTGGGAAGGTTATGCAGGCACACAAGACCGTCTCTTACTCCCGTTTGTTTCCATACTGGATGTGCAAGGTGGCTCAGGTCTTCGAAGGTATCAAAGCCCTGCTCTTATCAATGACACTCATTTTCCACACTGCTGCTTATCCGACTTCACGCCAAGAACTCCAGTTGCGTTTTCTTGGGGAAAAAAAAAATAGAGCCATGAATCAAGAATTCCTTTCAACAATCAGTGCCTGGCAGTAAGCTTGCCAGTGCTGCCCCAGGGAGAGTTATGCCCAGCTGCCCAATCTGGTAGCAATGACAAAACTGTGCAGGGGAAAAGCATGATAGAAACCCAGTCACCAAGCCTCCATCTCCACAGCCATGCCTGGGAACTGCTATTTTGCCTTGTGTTCATGGAAAGGTAGCTGTGTCACAGTTTAATTTAAGAAAAAAAATCATAAATTAATTAAATTACAGTCTGGATTGGTATAGACATCCCAGGTATTACAGAAGAAAGGTTGAAATGTATCAGTAAATCACAGGAAACTATAAACTAATATTAGGATCTAATGACAAAGAGAACACAATAATCAGATATTTCTGACTTAGGGAAGAATCAGCCATTCAGTAAGAGTTTTGTAAAACCCCATCTAAATGACTGTAAGCAGTTCTTACCACTGATGTCAAAGAAAGATGAGCTCAAACTAGAGCACATGCAAAGAAATGCCAGCATGATGAGCAGGGAATAGGAAAGCCATCTTACAAGGGGATCTTATTCTGTCTAGTTAAATGGCCACGCTCTAAATACACTAACAGGATGACACCATAGGACAGAACTATTTAAATTAAAATATGAAGTTGTCACAGAGACCAGTAGTTGAGGCATTTTAAACATTGAACAGGAACTTGCCATCATGATCATTAAGAACATGTATCAAAACAGAGGTTCTTCCCATTACAGATCAAGAATAATTTGAAGCTGAATACTTGCATCTACATCTCACAAACCTGCATCTAATGGATCTTTAGATAGCTTGACAGCTACTACAAAAGTTGTCAATGCTACAGGCCTCCACCTGTCCTGATGTCAAAAGTGGATGATCTCTGGTCACTACAGCCATGTCAGAAGAAGCTTTAAGGAAGTTAGTTATGCAAAAGCTCTGTTATTGATACTTCATTTTATTTATAGGTATAATTTTACTATATTATTCCAATATAGCCTGTCCAGATACCCAAAATTATGCTACTAATAGCTGATTGTGAAACAATTAACATATATTTCACTAAATTTTTCTACAAGGTTTCTAAAATAGGAGAGCGCTACTCCCTTTTACTGAACTTGCAGAGTAATGCATTATTCTCAAACAACTAACTTATAGTTCTCTTTCCAGTATCACTTCTAGCTCACCACCCAAAGTTCCTCTCTTTCCTTCAGGTTCCCTATGACCTTTCTATTTATACCCTTAAAACGTAAAGTGAAAATAAGAACAGAAAGATAAAGCATCTCAGCCTTTAACCACTATAAACTCTGTACTGCAAGATCACTTTCAAGTTTGTTTTCAAATAGTATACCTACACTTCTACCAAATGGCTTCAGTCACAAAATACTGCCATCTCACTGCCCTTTTAATCATAAGCTCACTCAACTGTACCTCCAGTGCACAGTCCTTCTCTACAACATAGTCTGGTACTGAATTTGATTATTCTTGTAGGCGCTTATTAGAATACAATTATAAAGAGAGAGGAGATGAACTGAAATAGCCTTTCACTGATTGTCAGCCTCCTTCTTTCCAGAATTTTCATCCAAGAAGGCAGCTCTATTTTTTCACTGTACTTCACAGAACATGCATGAGACAGATGATGCTGCTGAGGACTAGCTACTAAGATTTATTTTCCGGAATTCATGTTCTTATTCTACTCTGAGACCTTTAGCAACAGCTTATAGAAGACATGAATGGAAATCAGTTTCAGGATTTACAAGAGTTAGCTAGAAACAAAGCTAAGGCTAGCAATGCAAAAAGCAAATCTTACCACTTCCTCACTTCCACTGATGTGCTATTTCTTAAAACTAATCACATTTGGAAACTATTTTTTTAAAGTTATTATTATTTTACAACATGTTGAAAAAAGTAAGTCTTCTCAGCCTTGCACAACTGACCTAAATTACCCCCACTAAACACACCCCTCCTGGTGAGGTAGCTGTTAAGTTATGTAGGTTTCAAACTAAAGCTACCACTGTCTAAAAGAAAATACCATATAATCAGAGATAATTATCTCACTTAAGTGTTAAGAAATTATAACTGTGATCAGAAAAATAACAAATACTTGTTCAATTTCCTGTAGAACTCCACTTCAGAGACATACAAGCAGTTTGTTTCTAGCTTCATGCATGGAGCATTCACATCTTCAGACACTCCTGCTAAAGGAAATCTTTATAGGTTTTGGAATAACTTCTCTCTCCCAAAACATTTTAACTGAAGCTAAAGATCTTCAAAGGAAAACTAGGCCTGTACTAGAAACTCATCACTACCTGTCACATTTTCTGCCTGAAACTGAAAGATCATACATATTCAACAACTACACTGAGGAATTTCATTAATACAAAGACATGATTAGCAGTTTATTATATTAAGCTGATGGAAAACTAACGGTCACTCTTTCTACTGATGTTTGTCTTCTCACGACACAGGCTTTTTGCAACAGTTGCACAGCTTAATTGCACAGATGCACTATTCTGGCACCGTACAGGCGTGCTCCTGTCATCAGTTATTTGATAAGTCATTTAAACTGTCAAGCTAATTCAGAGCCAATGGCTGCGTACCCAACTGCACGACCAGCAGTCCATACTCAAGTGTAGGCATTGCTAGGAGCAGATAGGCACACAAAAGTGGGAGGTTTTTTGCAGTTTAAAGCTCAAACAGCACTAAGCTTTGTCTAAATCTTCAAAGCCAACCTATATGCACCATCCATACTGCCATAAACAAGGTTACTTACTGTAAACAGACTTTACATTAAGCATGACATTTTCTCCACTGTAAACTGCTATATTTAGAGTGTTGGCTACTTCAGTGTGAAAGGAAAATCATGTATTAGTAGGAATAGGATATTTTCAACCTCATGTACCAGGGTGGTGTGGAAAAAAAAGTCTTTGTTTTGAGACCTGTTAATGTACATTCACTATAAACTTAGGAAAGACTTCTTAAAGGACAGATCAGCTAGAAATCAAAACTAAGATTCTTTAAATGCCTTTCATAAACAGTTTTTTTACACATAAAATAATCTAAAAAACCCCCTCTCATACATGTTGCTCTCTCCGTAAACACCTGAGCAAACTTTGACTGTGTATGCTTTAGTACTATTCTAACTTTACATAAATTACTAGATAAGAGCAGAAAGTTTCCAGGTCCTTTAATGAAAAAAATAACAAAGTAAATATTGATTTCACCACTACTTGGCTCAAAACAACTAACTTATAACCAGTTCACTTGAGCTTCTAAACCTCAAGGAACTAGTGTAGACATCTAAACCATGTTTTATGGGTTCTTGACTTCAAAAAGCAGTTTACTTTAATAACAAAGTACAGCTTATTTGCTTAAATAGAGTAACTGTTTCTGTTTGCAGGAAAGAATACATAGAAGTGAAACAGGAGGTTGTTGTTTTTTGGTTTTTTTTTTTCAAATTTTTCTTTTTCATATTTTGAAATTTATTGTGTGTTTATCACATTCAAAAAGCATTGACCAGTAGGGTTTTTTTGGTAACTGTTAGAATGCCAAGGTAAAGCTGGTATATTTTGAAGCTTAATTAGCACCTAACAGAGATGACCATAAACTTAAGGAAAATTTGCACGGCCATGTATTTGACATTTCAGACTTACAATAGTTGTGTGGGTATAGCAGGATAATTTTAAAAGGTAAGAAGAAACTGAATTCTTTGGAAAGACCAGACAGTAACATGAACACATGAAACTGAATCTTAAATTAAAAAGATTTTAAGGGCTTGATGATTAAATCCTTATCCCCATTTACATGTCTGTTTAAAATCTAATTTCAGCCTAAGCTGAATTTTTTTACATCTGTCATGATTGCCTGTATAGGCAATTATGGAAAAAACAGGATAAAAACTGCTTTGGGATGAATGCTGAGAGATTCTTCACAAGGCATTGCAAGGCTGAAACAGGAGTGGGTTGGAGAAGAGACGATAATTCACATGGTCAGATAAGGACCAAAACTAGAAGAAAAAAAAACGTAAAGTTGGTTGCATGAAAATGCCCCAACACTGAGCAAAAGACATGCAAGAAAAGCTGAAGTAGCAGCAGAGAGTGGGTCTGATCAGGTTTTGATAGATGGAGAAAACTGAAAACATTTCCCCACTGTGTAAGTGACATTATCTACAGTCTTTATTCAAACATATTGAACAAAATCTAATTAAGGGAGAAATTTGATAAACTTTACAGACAGCCCTCTACAGAGCTAGTTTTGAAACAAAAAGGACAGATAATTGCTTAATCTCAAAATTAAGACTGAAGTATACCAGTAGTACTTTACATCAAGCAGTTATTTTTAAGAATGTGTGAAAAAGGACAATTTACTTTTTAAAAGGGTGTCCTCTAAATACGGCATACAAATAAAGTACTCTAACATCCTGGATTATTTTTTTCAAAGCTTTTTGAGAAACACACACAAATAATTCAGATTTAGTCAATTTTATTTACAGTTTGTTTTTTTACATTTCAGAGCATTACACAATTACATATTCTCATTTTCTGACCTGCAAACAGATACCTTAAACGGAAATATTAAAAAAAAAAGAAGTTAGATACATCCAAAAATGCAACAATTACACATCTGACAATTCACAAAGTGTAATTTACTAGGACGTATCCTAAGAATTTAGGAACAACCAGTCAGGAGAAAATCTGACCAATTTCAGCAATCAATTATTTACACATTCAAAACAAAGCCTCTCTTAATCTAAACCTCCAGGCAAATGGCCTGAAAGATTTCTTCAGGAAGAAAGACCAGAAGTTATGATTCACACCTATGCAGCATCAACAGCCCTTGATCCCAAATACTGAGAGACTTCTCAGCTTTGTCTTAGAGCTACAGGCATCCCTCTCAGCTTCTCAGACCCTGAAGTGTTAAAGTTGTGCCCCCATGTGCATAGAAAGGCTGACTGAATGTTTAAGTGGTCACTACGATAAAACCCCATTTAATCTGGTCTTTAAGTTACATGAATTCTTCTTCCTTAAAAATTTCAGCAAGTCTTCTAATACCATTTAAACTGGCCTATGTGGATTGGGGCATGCTTCCTTAAGATGTTTAGCATGCTTTGAACCAATTTGCACTGACCAGACTAAATACATTAGAGACAATTTAAAATAATCTTTAAAGACCATTTAGACAAGGCTTACATTTCTACACTTCCCTGACAGGCCATCTAAACAAAAAAAAAAAAAAAAAAAGTCACAGCTACTACTTTCATCCCTTGTGTTAACCCTTTGCCACACAGCAACTAGTTATATACTGGGTAGAAACTACTAAAAAATTCCCTGCAAATAAGCTGCCTTTCAGCTGAGGCTATGGCTCCTATGCATTGGGTGTTTGAGGAGGTTTGGTTTTTGTTTGTTTGTTTTTTTTTTTAATTTAAAAAAAATTCTCACTTGAAAAATACTGAAGTTCTCACTTTAGGCTAATTTTGATTGCATGTTCAATTTGTTTAACTGTCAAGAAACTGCTACAAGTGGAACAACTTTAGTATAAAAAGAGCAGTCAACCGAGTGCAAGTTCTGACTTGGCAAGTCCTTCACGGTAGTTCTCTAACTAGGCTATGAATTTTGTGGAGCCTCCAGATTTCTTGCCTACCTTACTTTCCGTGTTCACGTTTCAAACTGTGTCAGCAGGGCCCGAACTTCGGGAGTGAGCTGCTTAGCAGCCTTAGCTGCCTCTGTGACGGCCTTGCGGTACAGACCCTTTCTCTTCTTATTAAAGCGCAACTGGAAGCTTTCTAAAAAGGGGGATAGTTGTGCAAGAGCAAGAAAAGATGTTGTTGTGGAGCCGAACCATGAGATACGAGCCTCCTGTCGAACTAAAAGGCCGTTATCTTTCCGGCTCACAGTTATGGTAAGAATACGGGCTGGCCACCAAGGGAAGCCATAAATCTTGGCCCAAACAATGTCCCCTACACATACGGTCCTGCCATCTGGTGTGACACATTTGGAGACGTTTTTGGAAAAGACTTCCATTTTCAAGGAATTACTGAGCTTTTTCTCTTCCTTTGAAGAGGAGGAGGAGGAGGAGGAGGAAGGTGCATGCATGCTGCCTGGAGGAAAATCAAAGCTTTCAGTAGAGCTACACTCAGAGTTGGTAGATTTCAAATCATCTGTGCTATCACTACTACAAACTGATGCACTGGAAGAGTCAGATTTCTTTTGATTAAGGGTCATGTAAACCGTTATATTGCTTTTGCTGCCTCTCTTGCCCAGTGTCTGGTGTTCATCCTGATCAACAGTTACATGCACTTCACTTGTGTCCTGAACCTCACTGCTGGCCTCTTCAGGGCCTTCTGAGGGGCTCTGATTTTCTGAAGGGGCCTCACCTGCTGAGCGGGTGGAGGAGCAGCGAGACTGGGGCTTAGTTGCCATCTTGCCACTCCGTATTTTCTCAAGTCCTGTCTTGAGAGAAGAGTCATTTTCTTCATTCCGATACCTTTGTGGCTTTAAACGCAATCGGGGTGGGAGGGAACCTGAGCTGGTGTTCTGAAGACGCCGTGTGAAGTGGACCTTTGAATGTGCATTTTTGGAAGAGGAGGTTGCACTCTGCTTCTTTTGTGCCTTTTCTTTGGCCATTTTCAAGACTTCCCGAGCTTTTGCATGATCCATGTTTTTGCTCTGGAGAACTTTTTTTGTATTTAACTGCGCTTTTGAAGTATTTGCTTGTGCAGAAACTTTAACTACTCTGCTTCTGCTGTGGGCAATATTTGAAACCTTGACCACAGCATTCCTTTTCTGGCTTTCATTTTGGCTTTTTCCATCCACTTTATGGTCAGTCTTAAGTTTTTTATTCACAGTAGTCACACTCTCATTTCTTCGTTTTTTATTATCCTCGTATTTTGAAGAGTCACTTGCATTGCCACCTTTTTTTATTTCCTTTTTTTCTGCAACAACACTGTTTTTGCACTTGTCACACAAGACCTGCCGGGGTCGTAGTTTGATAGCATTCATAATAGAAGTGGGTTCCTCCCTGTACATTTTGCGCTTGGGCCGCTTAATTTTCCGGGGCGGAGGCTGAGGTATTGACTGGTTATACGTGTCCCTGATAAACAAAGGGGGAGGATATGGCGCTCCCTCGTGAAAGAGAGGAGGTGGTTTAGAAGTCCATAGGCTTTTAGCTATGCTAGGTTCTGATGGCTGCGTGAGAGAAGAGTCATCAGGGACTGCAGCATTAGATTCACACTTCACCTGTGCCTCATCTTGGAATGGTTTACTTTGGAGCTGCATGGCTTCGGGTTTATCCTTGTATTCCCTTTTAGGAAATATGGTCACAGGGATTCCATGGGGTCCAAACCTTAAAGAGAAAAAAAAAATAAAGAAATTAAAGGTTTTGAGGGATCTTTTGCTGCATTTAGCAAAAAGCATTTGAAAACCTGTCCACATGATGTAGCCACCATTTGAAAGACATGACTCCTGGGAAAATTAAAGCTTCCTATCTAGCTTTATGGTAAGCTTTGAAAAAGCAGGACACAAAAACCAAGCCAGCAGAGAACATAAAATCCACAACTTCACTTATTATCAGTTTCTCTTGCATCAACAAGATGTCTTGAAAATGTAACAAAAAATATCACCTAGAGACGGCAGTAAAAGAATTAACTTTGTACTTTTAGAAAATGCTTATAAACATACAAACTACATATTCATCCCATCAACGCCAAATCTACCCAAAATTAATTTCCACATTAAATCAACTTATGTGAAGAAGGCATCTTCACTAACTTTTACAAGATTCTTCCACTTTTAGCACTGTACAAAAGGCCAAATATTTCAGATTTAATTGTAGCAAATGTGGACTGCATAAATATTTGCACTGAACAGAATGCCATCTTTCTTCATCCACAGAAGATTAGCACTTGATCTTATGATGCATTACACTTCAAAACCTGCCAGCCTATTAGTTGAGTTTCTTCCAGCAAAACTACCCTTATTTCAACACAGTACAAAACATTCCTCCCTGTTTTGCAAGCAAATAATATTTTAAACCTTTGCCTACTTTTTTCCAGATAGCTCTAGATCCCTGCTGCCCCATTTGACACTCAAAGGATTTCTCACCATCCTGATCAGCTCTAAGAGAACACAGAATGAAAAATCCCAATATGATTGAGGCATTAGCTCTACTTTCCAACAGTAACACAAGTAGCAGGTTGCCTAAGAGGTAACCAACACTTTCTGCAAAGGGTTTTGCTGAGGGAAACATTTTATCAGTTTGCAAGGGTTATGCTTGCCTTCTCCTGAGAGGAAATCAAATGATAAACACGTCCATTTTACAACACTGTATCTTTCAATCCCCAGAACAGGGTAGAAGGGATTCTAAAAGCTTGATCAACCTTCCTTCTTTCTGTTCCACTCCACAATCTACCAGCTGAGGACCACCCTTACACAGAGCTGCCACTGGTCTGTTCGTTCACTGCTCGAGCTCTGCCCGACTCCAGCCCCCGTAACACATGCTTGCATTTGGCTCATATGAGATGCTATTGTAATAGTCTGACCTTCATGCAGTAACGTGATAGACAAGGTTGCAATACAAATGGCAAATCATCCATTTCAAATCACTATTATGTTTATCCCACCCCATACCCCACCTGACAGGAGAATGAAGTAATTACTCAAGATTTGTACTCAGGTTAATGCTAGTTCATGTTGCGCTGCAGCTGCTCAACTGCGACATCCTCTGAACTCACTGAACTGAAGTTTATTTACAATCTACGGTTGCTTCTCAACTGAAAATAAATGCTAAATACTGGTCTATTTTTCATTCACACTCCTGCAAGAAACGTGCAGTTTATACAAGTACCTACATGTAGGCTTTATTTCTTCAAAATTGGTTCTGAAAAAATCTCATCATATGTGTTAGAAGCTTCTTTATGCTGTCACCAACAAAAGCCATCACTAGTTTGTCCTTTTGCTTATCTGTTAAGCCTCTTTTTAAACTTAAAAGTTGCAACTGAAGCAAACAACCCATCCAAGATTAAATTATCCATATCCATCCAGTTTGTGCTTCATTAGAAAAGGAGAACAGAAACAGCAGACAACCTAAGCAAGGGGCAACCAATTAATTTTGCCATCATAAAAAAAAAAAAAAGAAGGCAAGTTGAACATGTTGCAGTTTAGTATCAACACGAGCACGTTGTTACCCCGCACCTAGGTGCTGTTACATTCATTCCTCTGAACACTGGATATAGAGGCAGGAGCCCCGGTGGGCAGCTATAGAGTTCTGTCCTTATCCGTGGGTTGATCACTGCTCCTTATCACAAAGTATCCTACCATCCCACAAAAGTTCGTTTTTGAGGTTTGGGCCCACCCCAGTTGAACTCCACGCGTCCCTCCAGAAACAAGCAGTGTAACTAAATGCAGTATACTGCACTAGTGAAGGCTACAGTTGGTTATAAACATTTAGCAGCTGATACAGGTGTTTCTCCAGCCTACAGTCTGGCATTAAACCACAACGGATTCCCTCACAGTCAAGTTTTAAGTTTCCAGAAGTCCACCAAGTGTAAAGAAGTTGCTTTTCCACAAACACTTCTACTTCCACTAAAGATTATGAGTTAAGTTATTCAATTCCAAGTAGGACTTTAAAAGAAACTATCAGCTGATAACAATGAAATTAGCAATATTTTCAGTGTTACTTGCATCAAGCACTTCAGCTTCTTCAAGAACAATGTGATACAGATCCCATCTATCACCACCTGATAAAGATTACAGAATCTTGGAAAAAGTTGAGAACAAGAACTTCTAGACAGGGCAAGAAATTTGCTGTGCAAATTTCACCTCAGAAAAACACCACAAAATAGAATCAGACTGAAGTGTGATATTAAACACGCAAAACCCATGCAGAAAAACATCACTTCTCCCAGCCTCAGAACTGCATTTCCTAGCCCCTCACAAGACATTTCCACAGTCCAATGCACAAACCTTTCTTCTAGGAGACATTTATGCTGACTCTGTGTTAGGAAGCTAACCATTATCACCAGTGACCAGTGGGGAAGTGGATAAAGAGCACTGCAAGGAGGTTCTCCAGAAGGATCCCATTTAAGTACTTCATCTCTCTCTTCCTAGATTTTCATTCTACTGCCTCACAAGCAAAGTCAGCACGATCAGCACTCCAACATATGAAAAAGCATAACAGAAAGCTCAGCATATAACCAATACCATGAAGGCATCAAAGATTAAGATTGCAATTTAGACTATCCTTTCCTTCAAGTATCTGCATAATACACAATCCAAATAGCTGATGAACAGGACAGTCAAAGGGGAATTTTTATCCAAGATGCAAACCTGCAAAAAAACAGTCCAGACTGATCTCTTAAGCTGGAGTCTGTCTCACAAAAGGTACTGTTTTAACAAATGAACTAGAATCTCCTGCCCCTGTCTACCTAAAAATTAATGAATTGCAGAATTAGAGAACACTGTCTAGTACCAGTTATGTAGGAGCAAATGAAGATACTATTCTTGTAAATGATGTGTCAATATGTAAAAACATGACTAGTCAAGACATAATCCACCTGAAGTACAAGATATATAAGCCCAGAGACTGAATATTACTTCCAGCCACTGAATGTATGGTGTCTTCTCTTTGGCCCCATCCAATAGCAGGTTATGTCCACAAACATTCAGTTTTTAGATAAGATTTGTTTCTTCCTTGGTGAACGAAATTCTCCAACTAAGCAACTTAGAAGAATGATATGAAAAATTAAGAAGACATAACAAGGGCAGAAAAACTTAGGAATGAAACACTAAATGATACAGGAGAGAATGAAGACAGAGAACAAGGTAGGAAGAGAGCAAAGGCAAAACAGAGAGTGGTATATTTTTCTTAAGAGAAGCAGAATGACTGTGTGATCACAACAAACCTATTCAAGACAAGGCATCACACAGCATCTAATTAGTTCACCATCAAACACAAATTTTTATTGCATATACTAGAATTTCAAGCCCTATTTTCACATATTTAGTTGGTGGACCTTGAAGAAAAGTGCTTCTCACTGAGACCACCTACAGATTTTGTTTGTCATTATGATGCATGTTTAAGTACTATAAGAAACTGCCCTGTCTTTAGTCCAAGTCCTACCTTTTTTTAATATATTGATCCTGAGTATCACCTGTCCCTACTATAATATTACTTTCCTCCAGAGAAGGCTATTATTGGAAAGAGATCTTCCAACTATTATTTGCTAAAAAAAACCCCAAAACAAAACAAACAAAAAAACCGCCCCTGACCACCACCAACAACAAAATCCCAAACCCAACACATTTTTAAGTTCCAGCTGTTGATTGTACAGCCCATTCTTGCACACCATACATAGTTCTACCACAGACTATGACTGGAAGGAATAGATCTCCCATCAACAAATCCTTCTAAAACTGAACTGTCAGAAAAACCAAGATAAGAAATAGGTATTTCTTATTTCAAAATAAGAAATAGGTATTTCAACCTAATTTGAGGCAGTTGTGGAAGCAGTGCACTGCTGCTTCATTTCAAAATTAGAATCAGTTTTCTATGTTGCCAGCTTCCCTTCCTGTAAAGGTGTCCTGGCTCTTTTTCCCTTTGAAAAGACACCTCTAAAAGAGAAGACAATTAAGATTCATCAGAAGAAACTGATCTCCAAGAAGTTTTACAAGTAACCACAGTAATCAGCAGGATCTATTCATATTTCTGCTATATATATCACTTCAACATACATACACATTAAAGACATAAATAGCCACAGGAATATCAGGAACTATATTTAAATAAGAGACTAATGGGCTAGACTAAATCAATTTTGGCAGCCCAGTGATCTTTACACTGAGAAGAGCTTTTAATTGACCAGGGCATGTAGAGACAGAATTATGACAAAAACACTCAGGTTTTGTTTCCACACTTTGTCAACTGCGAGCTAACGAATAGGTAGCCATGGCATCTCTTGTAATTATGTAAAAGCTAGTGTGGGTATCAAACCTAAAAGCCTGCCACTTAAAGCCATACAGATCTGTATTACAGATATGTAAACCTACATACTTCAAGCAAAGTAAAAACACTTTTTCCAAATCTAAATTCTACAGCAGAATTACTACAATGAATACGTATTACTACTCAATTTGTATGCAAAACACAGCACAGTTAAAGAGTATTTTTTAGAAAATAAACATGAGATAAGGAACAAATCGCATTTAAATTCTTAACTGTATGTACATAAACATCTAAACAATATAACCTGGGGCAAAGTGTTTTTACGTTACTATGTAAAGTCTTAAGCTCTCATCTTTAGCCTCCAACATCCAACTTTTACTTCTCTATTAAAAGAAACAAAA